TAAGAAAGTATAGATAAAAAGTAATATTTTTAAATATTATTATTTTTTAAAATTAATAATAAAAAAATTCTATTCTTGACTAATAATATTACTTTCTATATAATTAAAAAAGAATTAAAAAATTTCAAAATTTATTTTTTATCATCTAATATAATAACTTATTTATAATTATATAATATTAGAATAATTAATTTATTCAAAACTTATTATTAAAGGTTATATTTTTAATATATCTTGAATATTATATATTGAATATTATAAATATTAAAAAAGAAATATAGTATTTTAATATTAAGAAAGTAATTAATTTTATTATTGAAATATGAAAAAATAATAACTTTTTAGATAATTATTAATTACTAATAAAAGACTAAAATAATATTAGTAAATAAATAGACTTAATTAAATTCAGATATGCATAGTAAAGAGAATATTAGTTTTAGAATAAATATTAAAAAACTGATTTTTAGTATTTTTTTTAAATATTTTAGTAATAATAGTTAAAATATATAAATATATATATTAATAATATTTTGAAGATTAAAAAAGTTATTTTAAATAAAGAAAAAAATTATTTAAATATCTAATTCTAATAGTAATAATAAAAATAATAAGATTAAAGTCAAAAAATTTCTTATTTTATAGTTTTCAAATAATATAAATTATTTTTATGATATATTAAATAATAAGATCTAATTAAATTTATAAAGAAATAAAACTTATTAATATTATGAAATTTATTATAATATATTTAAATAAAAATATTAGAAATAAAGTAATAAAGAAAATTAATAAATTTTTTTTAGAGTTTATTTTAAAAATAAAATAATATTTAAGAGATTTTTAATAATATAAAGATTTTTTTTAGAAGAAAAATAAATATAATAAGATAAAGATCTATTTTAAGAGAATAATAAAATAAGATAGGATAATAAGATAAAATAAAAATCAATTATAAAATAATAATAAAACTTAATAAAAATAATAAAATAAAATAAAAATCTATTTTAAGAAAGTAATAAGTATTTAAAATTTATTTTAAAAGTAAAAATCTGATAAATAAATAAAATTTATTAAATTAATCAATTTAATTTTAATTCTAATATAACTTTAATATCTTTTAATTATTAATTTTTAAATATATTAATAAAAATACTTGATTTTATAAAATTAATATTTATAAAATATAATTATATACTTATTAAAAAAAAACTAATTTAATAATAAAATTATTTAAAATAGTTTATTTTAAAATAATATTAAGAGTAATAATATAAAATAATAAAAATTTAAAATTTAATTCATAATTACTTAATATAATAATAAAATTTAATCTAATAATTATAATAATAAATAATAATAGATATAATAATTACTAATTTTATTAATGATCTTTAATTATTAATATAATTAATATATTAAAGTTAAAATAACTAAAAGATTTAAATAAAAAGATTTTAACTTAAAAATTTTTATTTATATAATTTAATATATTTTAAAAGAAAGTTTCAATTTGAGATTTATATTCATTATAAATTTTTCTTTTATAATTTTATTATATTATAACTTATCTTGAATAGATATAGAAAAATATCTGTTAAAATTAATTTTATATAATTTTTTCTAATAAAATAATTATTCAAATATTTAAAAATATTTAGTTAATAAAATATTAATATAAAATATTATAATTATATAAAAATATAATAAAGTATTTTTATAAAATTTATATTTAAGATATTTTTAATATATAAGAATCAATTATACTTATCTTATTTATTAAAAACTTTAATATTAAAAAATATTAGAAAATTCTTGAAATATAATTTTTATTATAGTAAATTATAAGTTATATTTTAATAAAATAACTTTTTAATTTATAATATAAATAAAATAATTAATTTTTTTTATATTATAATATTTAAATTTTTAATTAATTTTCTTATTTATCAAATATTAATCTTATTAAAAATTTTTAAGTTATATTTAAAAAAATAGAAAGAAAAATAAATTTATATTTAATCAAAAAAACTTTTAATAATATAAATAAAATAAGTAAATTTAAATAAAAATATCTTTTTTTAATTAACAAAAAGTATAAAAAATTATATTTTAATAATAATTGAATAGAAAAAAAATTAACTATTAAATTTTTTTAAATAATTAATAATTATATTTGAGAATATATATATAAAATTTTTATATATATTAATAATAAAAATAAAATATCTTACTTATTATAATAAATTCTAAATATTTATATTAATTATTATAATTAATAAAAAAAAATTATATATTAATTTCAAATATATTAGATTAATTATTGATATTAAATATAAAATTATTATTTAAAATAAAAATATTTAAAATTATATTATATATAATATGATATAGCTCTCGATATATATAACAAGAATCAAATATATTATAAATTATATATAGAAAAAATATAACTATGTCTAGCATATGTGATCAAACTTTAATATTAGTTTATTTATCAATACAATATAAAAAAACAAATCTAAAAAAAAGCTTAATTAGTTTTCTTTCCCTTTTTTTTAATGTAAAATGAAAAAAATCTTACTTAAAAACTAATAAATAACTATAAGTTAGCTTTGGAAGTATGATATCTATGATGTATCAACTTTAATGAAATTAAGTAATATTTCTTTTTCTATGATATATAAATATATCATTCAATTAAAAAAAAAATAATAAACTTGAATCTATTTCTTGTTTTGGATATTTCATAATTTTAACTCCCAAAGATTAATATATGTTAGGAAAACTTATCCAAAATGACAGATATCTTACTTGTAAAGAAATCACTAATAAATTTAGTTTTAATATCAAAATATTAGCATAAATAATCAACTGTAAACTTAATAAACTTGGATATCATATAAAAAAATCAAAAATTATTTCTTTACTTGTGGAAGAAAAATACTAATATCATGTTAAATAGGCAATTATCCATATCTGACAAAATTAAAAAAATATCATATTTTTAGATGAAATCACTTTTCAAATATTCTAGAATATTATGAAAGTATTCTATAAAACTAGAATAAATATTTCACAAAGGAAAGTTTCAAAATATCTAGCAAAAGTTTATGTTTGGAGTGTATTTTTTGCATATAAAACAATTGATTTCCATATATTTACATAAAATCTAAATGGAGAGCTTTATCATGAAATCTTAACTAACCATCTTTTTGAAAATGTATATAGAGTCATGAGAGAATATTGGGTTTTTTAGTAAAATAATAATCTGAAATATTAGATTATAAAAATTCTTTGTCATCAAGTTTTAGAGATCCTTAATTAGCTATCTTATAGTTCTAATCTTAATCTAATAGAAAATCTTTGGACTATTATTAAAAAAAAGAGTTGAAAAATATGTTAGTAAGATAGTTAGAAAAGAAAAAATGATTAGCATTAAGTATTGGCATGATTTAATTAGGAAGAAGTGGAAGGATATTTTGCTTGATATATATCTTAATTTAGTAAATTTAATATTAGATTATTTAAATGAAGTTCTTAAAAATAATAGAAAAGGAATAAATTATTAATATATATATTTATTATATATAAATATCATATTTACTTACTTGTAAAATCATAAGTCAAATAAACAAAGCCCTCATGATTTATCACCAAATAATAATTTTTATTATATACATCAAGAGTTATAATTATTAGAATTAATATATAAATAAGAAGTAATTATAATTATTTTTTTATTTTTTATATAATATATTTTATTAATTAATTATTGAATAATAAAGAAAAAAGAAGATAAAAATTATTTTTAAAATATATTAAGAGATTTAAATATGATATAAATAGTAAAGATATATAAAATAATAGAAGTATTATTTTTAAAAATACTATAAAAAATATTAGTTATATTATATTATATTATAATAATATATATAAAAAATAAAACAATAGATAAATTTTATTTTTTAATAATTAAAATATTTTATTATTTTTAAATTATTAGAAAATTTTTAATAAAGAAAAATATAAAAAAAATAAAATTAAATAATAAAAAAAAATAAAAAAAAGATTAAAATTAAAATTAATTATAAAAATTTGAATATAATTAAGAAAATTAAATTTTTTTTCATATTTAAAAACTTTAAATAAATAATTAATAAGAAGAATTTATTATTATTATTTATTATTTATTATTTATTATTTATTATTTATTATTTATTATTTATTATTATTATTATTATTATTATTATTATTATTATTATTTTTTTTTAAGATATTTTAATTATTTTAATTAATATAATTTTATTAATATATTTAATATATATTTACTTAATTAATAATATATAATTTAATATTTAGTTAAATAATTTTAAATAATTTTAATTCTATAATATATATTAGCTAAAGTTTTAGACTTAAATAAAAAAAATAATCATAAAATAATATTTGATATAACTAAATCATATGAATAATTAACTTAAATTTCTATATTTTCATAATTTAATATATCAATAATATTTTTTTAAATTAATATCTAATAAAATAATAATAAATAATTTATTTAATAAGATTATAATATAAATTATTAATTAAATAAAAAATAATATTCTTAATAAAAATTCATATTATAATAATAATTATAATTAGAATTATAACTTTCAATTATAGTTGTAATAACTATCTTTAGTTATTATTTATTTTGTGAAAATATTAAGAAATAAAGACTTTTTATTTAATAATCAAATCAAATAAAATCTTTCATTCTTTTAAAAATAATGTAATCGCATATTCACATGACTTGGTTCAACCAATCATGAATTTTCTCATGATTTTAAATCACATGACATAATCCGGACGAACCCAATATCGCGTGATATTATCCGTCCCCCTTTTTCATTACACATTTACTCTTAAAATCACATGAACCGCTCGTAGCACAATTAAAATACTAGGTAAAAGAATTTTAGCAAAATTTGAATTTGGTTAAATGTAAAGCCATGGCGGGAAATTCAAATTTCGTTGACCCGCTCTCAATAGCCAACTCTGACACAACGCAGATTGCATCCTCAAATAGCAGTGTCAGGAGAGCTCCCTCACATTGGCAAAAGCTTAGAAAGCATGTTTTAGTTGAAGTTCCTTTGCCCAAGATAACTACTAATGTTAACAATAATGAAGAACAAGAGCCAGATTCTCCAGTATCCCCACGTTCAGATGCTGGCAGTGCCAGCTCTAAGTCGACTACCCATTCTCGGGCAAATTCAAAACATAATTTACAAGTTAACCCGTTTCGTGGTGTGCTTCGTTTTAAGACAACCGTACAACAACGAACTGACGTAGATAAAATGGAAAAAGATTTAGAAAAACTTTTGAATCGAAGATATGGTGGACACGTTTTTAACAATAACGCCACAAGTGCCTCGGGTCCTACAGGAATTGTGGGCCAGATACCGGTTACAGAATTAGTTATGAAAGGTCATCGCGTGCATAAATCTCTGAGCACGCTGGATGGGGGTTTCAGTGGGAATGTTGGCGAGCCACAGAATTATTTAGGCGAGCTTTTTGAGTTATTAAAGCGCTGGAAAAATCTGGTCAAAATGCCTTCTAGTCAGATAATTTTTGCAGAATTAGCAAAGCCTTTTTTTAACTTTCCAGTTAATGGTTTGTTATTTACTAAGTTACTAAAATTCGTTTATTGAGAGATTGGCTGAATTTTTAAATATATACTTAATTTATCCAGTGGATGATTGCAATCAAGCATTAGATATTTTTGAATATATCAGAAATACTTTCCGAAATCCGGATCCTAATGTATGGAAAATTCTTGCACTACTTATAATAGTCGACGTCTACTTTAACCAAAAAGGGCAAACACCCTCGGAAGGTTACGACGCTATTATAACTTTTGTCAAAATTATCAAATGCCATACGACATATGTCATAATGGTGTCGTAAATTCTTGAGGGCTGTTTGCGTCTCTGTATTTAACGATTGCAAAAAATTAAGGTTTTTTTTTCTAACAGGAAAATTTTGCTCGAATTCAATGGTGCTGCAAATTATTAGAAACACATCATGACGCGATTAAGGTAACCATTGTGGAATAAATTTTTGCGACGCATTTTTCGAAGCTAAATTTTGCGAAAAATTATAATTTTACAGGAGCGAGTTTGTACTTTAACTGAAAATTTGCTCAACAGCACCGCAGCAAATTCTTATTTTCCGACTTCAGTTACCGCGATTCATGCACTTGTTTACACATTTGTACATACATTAGTGGTAACATTGCCGACAAATGTAGGCTTTGATCGAACAGATAAAACTATCCATCTTCAAAAAATGGTGAATGGGTTTTTGGAACGACTTGCAGCTGGGACCTTAGTTTCCATTGATCTTGAGGAAATGTTTATTGGTAATGCGCATGTTCAAATCCACAAATACGATAGTTTAGCCCGATGTGTATTCCTTGAAGGATTGGTCAAATGCTTATTAGTCAAAAATATGCAATTACGTAAATACGTTTTGGCTAATTTAATCGAGGTAAAGTTAACAATTAAAAATTACTTTTTAAGACAAGGGTTCAGGAATATTACCCTTATAGAATTACAAGTTACAACAGTATTGCGTTATATAGACTACGATAATACGATATATATCGTAATACTTTCGTAACCCTGGGATGGACGGGTAATTTACGGAAATTCAGATTTGATTTTCATCGGATATTGGAATTAATGTTTTCAGGAAAATTTCCTTTTTAAATCTGGAAAAAAAGTCAGAGAGTTTCTAAATTTGGTAGATTGATGGCATTTGAAACTCAGTTTAAAGTTTTGCCAGATTTCTAAAAAAAAAAGGATTTTCCAGGCACATTTATTCACATGAGTTTTTTAGCGGATATCTTGCTGTTATCCTAATGATTATTTTTTTATTAAACTAGAAATATTGGATAACACCCGATCAAACGATGCAATCGTTATATGAGCATGTCATCCGACTTTTTGCACAAGCTGCCTTTGAAATATTGGCTGATACTAAATCTGGTGATATTGGAATAGAAACACTTTCCTATTACATTTTAAAAATATTGAATCAAAGTTTGCCAGCTAAAAATCTTCGAAACATTTCATCTCATGTTGTAAAATCGCTAGTAAGTGTAATTATATCTATATTCTCTACACAATCGCAAGATAGCACCATTCCGCGAAGTTCTTCGTTATCAACATCAACGATAGATTTCAATGCACAAAATTCATCAACACTTAAAAGTAGTCCAATTGAATCGCATGCACCAGAAATGGCTGTCATAGATTTGGCCAAAAAATATTTCGAAGATTTATGGAATGAAGGTTGGAAAGCAGAAATAATTCAGCTCGTGAAAGAAGCGGTAAGTATTAAAGTACTGTTATAATATAATGAATATTTATTGAATTTATACAATTTATTTATAGCTTGAGCAAGATAATCTTGAAAGGTGTATCTCTATATACAATCAATTAGTATATGGATCGAATGAAAGTATTGGAAACGAAATAGTTAAAGAAACAATTAATGATTTTTTTTTGGTAAGCTTTTTTTTGCTTACTTTATTAACGTTCTATAGTAAATCAGATCAAGATCATGATTTTTTGGATTCTCTTAGAAAATACTCAAAGATGATCCTGAACCCTTTCCGGGCCTCAAGAAGTTGCTTTTATCTTTGGCTTCAACTCACCGACCTCAATTTTATAAACCGATGCTTGCATGTGTAGCGTCAGATTCCGAGACTAAAGTTACCGAATATCTTCATCTTCTCGCCATTTTACTGCGTCATTTGAATGGAGTTGAATTATTTATGCAAGATGTAGAATTGATGACAGTAATCATTTTGAGTGACGTTGGTGAAAGTAAACTTACTTCTCGTTTGAAAAAGGATATACAAAAAAAATCATCTAATGACAATTGGGGCTCAACAAATTTGGGACAATGTATTCTCATTATGGAATTCGTATGGATTGTACGACAACTAAGGCTACAAAGACTTCATGTAATCATTTTTTATTCCTAAACTCTGATATTTGTAATCTATACTTAATATATTCTAAAAATTTAAATAGCGAACAAGGGATCTCAAACTTGATGAATCTGCAAAAAAATTCTTGATTGATCTAGAGCATCGCCTGGCAATCTATATCGCTGCAAGGGTAATAAGTGATAGATGTTTTTTCCAGTAATGTTTTTAAAATACTTAATAATAATATATCTTATAGGAGAAAAGTAAGTTGATTCCTATGCCATTACGTGTTTTACTTAGTGACTTATTTCTTGAAATTCGCCTTTATTGTAAGACTACTAAACGGTTAGTATATTATTGATCTTATATTTTATTTATAAGTTCATAATTATTAATAAATTATTTTATATTAGTCCTGGTTGGCTGTCACGTATGATAGATTGGTTAATCAGTTCTACTCCTGGAAGTGTAATATATCGTGATTCGGTTCTCAGTGGGTTCGAAGGAGCAAATAAGCAAAAGAATGATCCATTTGCCGAGCTTCGGATAAACGAGGATCAACTAGATGAAGTAGAGATGATATTTCACAGGATTCGAGTGGTTTACGCAACATTAGATGATAGGACATCAGTAGATGGAGATAAAGTAAGTGGATGAATTATAAAAGATTTTGACATACACTATTTATTAATGAAATATCAAACTAGGATGAAATGCTGGATGTCCCTGTTCCTATAATTCCCAAAACGATCCCTGTATCACCAACATCTCCTAATACGCCTGGAACTCCTCTAATTCCTTATCACGAAATGAAGCGTCGTTCAACTGTCACAGCTCCAGTATTTCCCTGGACCACTCACCCATGGATTTCTTCTAGAACCTCCAAACAAAGATTACATCGATTTATTGATTTTACTGAAGATATAGCAGAAGCGATTTTATCACTACTTGTCGCAACTTTTACGACCTTGACGGCCGATGAATATGTAAAATTGGGACCTCATATTTGGGATCGATTCTTAAATGATAGAGAGCATAAAGCTTTTAATTCAGCTTCATTTTTATTCATTCAATGTGGTGAGAATGCACCTACTGTTGTGAAAGATATCGTCTCAAAAGATCTTTATAGGTAAATAACTTTAAATAGTATTATTTATTTCTTATATAATACTTAAATTCTATATTTGGATTTAGTAAAAATGCATTAATCCGCGCTATGACTCTCCGCAAAATTTCCTCTCTTTTTGGTCATCGGCAGCAAATATTATTACATCCGAATATATCTAATTCAACCCGCCGTCGTCTATTTCGTTCGAATCCTGCTATTTCATTTGTGCCAACAGATCTTGGCTCATCAGATATGATGGTGTATGATTTGATTCGTGGATCAAAAATGAAAAATACCACCAGTTTAACTGCTGATGTTCGTAGACGTATTCAGGAACTTGGATGGGAAGAACAGGATGAAATTGAACAAGAACGTATAAAAAGAACTACGACACCACTTTCCTTGTTGCCCACTTTCTTCCTTGATGATGATGACTTGAGAAATAATGAAGAAAATGCATCCTATCAAAAAACTCAGGAGAAAATTGGAACATTAAGATCTAGTAAAACTTCACTCTTTATAAATCCAACTTTCAATAGACGTCGAGCTATTAGTATATCAATATTAAGCAATATCTCCCTTCTTGTTGTGGAGTTATTGGATGATTCCCATGGAGGTGTATATAACCTTGTTAAAGAAACTATAGTATATTTTCTTCGAGATGATCCGATTTTATTTCTACGAATATATTTGAGTGATTTGGGGAAATCTGACTTTCAAGTTCAAAAAGAACTACTTAACCGACTTCGTATCCTCATTTCCATGCAGCACTTTTTCCCGCCTGGATTCACTTATACACTTTTTAATCATCTTGCTGGAATGTTGAAATGGTATGCGCGTGATGATAAAAAGAATGGATTTGCTCTAATGGTCAAAACTATTCCTCTAATGGCAGAATTAGTCACGGCGATAAATGAAATGGCAGTTCGTGATTTTCGAAAAAACAAAATAGAAAATATACTTTGCAATAATGGACAATTTTGGTTCACGGAAGGCATCCCAATTTCCATGTTCCCTCGCCAAATGATAGATCCTCAAAATAGACTTAATATATTAGATATACCTTCGGAATTATTCGAAATGGCAATGTTAAGAATAGGACATATACAATTTATGACAAATTTTCTGACCAAATGTCCAAAAGAATCATATTCAATGAAAAAAATGATTCATACATTTGAGTCTATACGAGATGAATTCAATAATTCAATACACGTATTGAGTGATGAAGAACCGGTCATGCCAAATCAAAAAAGCAATTTATCTAGAACCGAATTTAAAGCAATTACTCGCCGTGAAAAAGATTCTCGCTTACTTTCTGCTCTTAGAGCTCGCGCATGGCTCAATTTTTTACAATCATTGATATTAGGCCTTTATCGTAATTATAATGATCGTGCAGAACTTAACAAGTTATTAGAAGGTGTTAATACTATTTTTCTTGATCATCAAAATGATTTTGGAATTGTCAGTCAAACACTTGTCCTATATATGAAGATGATAACACGTTTTAGACGTTTATTCGACACAAATCGAGGATATGCGATGTTTATTCCGGCTCTCTTTAAGGTCTTTTGTGAATCTGAGAAAACACAACCAATACGTTTGGCGATTACTTTTTCATGGCACCAATTTTATAAGGTCCATGGTGAATCCTTTATCTTTCAAGCAATTGGAAGTTTATCACCGCTAATCTTAAAAGGTTTTGGTAAATCTTTGGCTCTTGGTGAATGGATGTGTACATCATTGTACCTTTTATTTAAATCGTTGAATGATCCCATTAAGTGGACAGATGCACTTGGTATACAAGAAGAAGACTTAACAGAAGAATCGGATACTGTAGACAATGGTGTTCTTGATCCTGCAATATTACTTAATAATGTAAATACTGCATTGGCAAGGAGGGCTGGAAAAATTCAAGAAGACACTAAGATATTTGCGTTGGATGATTTGCTTCGTTTATTTTTGACTATCATTGCATATGATCCTGGTTCATCACGTGCAGAACAAATGGTGCAAATTCTACGTTATCTCCTTCCACATTTAATGCAAGAATCTCCTATGGTGAAATCAATGATTGATGAAGGGGTTAATGCTTTGACAGAAGTTTTCTTAAAATTTGGCAAGTCAGCGAAATTGGTTGCTCATTCGGATACGCTATCATCAAACATGACCAATAATGTATTAGGAGAAAATACCGGATCATTTGAAAATATTCCAAATACGGCTAGAAGCAGCCGAGTTACAGAGATCGCAACAGTGCAAGCATACGGTAAACAATGGCATCAAAATGACCGCATAACTATAAAAAGATATTTCTTATTATTAATACAGTCCTACCGGAAAAATGGGGGGATACTTACAGATAGTATTCAAAATAAATTGGCAAATATAATACGGTTAATTTTAAAAGATTATTCCACAACAAAACGTGCTTCCACCAAATTCCTTAAAGAATATATTGTAAATGTTTTATTGCATAATACCACATTCGAAGATGGACGAAGATCGATAACTACTTTTTTACGACATCTTGCGCCTCTGTTTCGACAGCACTATAAAACTATAGATTTTTCTGGTTTCATCGACGGGATTACTTTAATAGTGACAAATAAATGTGGGTTTGCTTTGAATGATCAAGGAATTGCATCTGTTGTACAGGAAAAATTTCTATCATTTGGACTTTCAGTTGCACTTAGACCTGATTGGGAAGAAGGGGAACGATTCCAGTCGCTCTTTTGTCAATCTTTAGCAAAATTGTTTGTGGCGATGATGATGAATTCAGATCAGGATGTGTTAATAGAATTAGAGAAATATCCGCCATCTCATCAGTTCATTGCATACATCTTAACACCAATATGCTTAGAATTAGACCTCGAAAACAACCTATTTACACCTATGCCAACTACATTGCCATCAACAAATGCTTTACGTCATCAAAAGCACAAAGCAATTAATTATTGGTTAAGATTATTGGCATATGTAATTAAGGTGTGTAATAAAGAATTTATAATGAGATCAAAAACGACCGCTTTCAATTTTCTTGGATCGTCATCACAAACAGAAGCAGATACAAAAACTGATAAATCGACAACAGAAAATATTACTCGTAGTAATAGCAAAACCAGGCTATCGACTGTTCAAGCCGCCGCATTATTTATGATTAGTTTTAATGCCTTGAAAATTATTTTACTTCGAGCTGAAATGTATATAACTGCAGTACCAGGAATGTGGTTACATATATCTCAATTTATCCGTAAAACACTAGAAACATCTACGATGACACAATCAAAATCTGGCTTATATTCTCGAGGATCAACTCCATCGATTAGTAATGCAAATTTGTTAGTAAATCAACCAGTAACAGATGTAAAACAAGAAAGTGGTAGCAATATATTGATAAATGAAAGAATCAATGTTATGTTAAATTCGCAATCTATCACGACAGCTCAGAAAAATTTATCAGTTTCTTCGACAGCTCTAGATTTTGTTTTATGGACCTTTTTAGAATTAATTGTGTTCTATAAACTTCCTCTGAATATATATTTAAGAACATTCATTCATCAAAAAATCGATAATCTATCATCAACGAATAATTCACGGAACCGTCAGTCATTTCTTGATTTAGCATCGAGACCTCCCTCGCTTAACAGTACAGGTTCTCGCGAATCAGGAAGAGCACGCTGGAAGAGTTGGGGTGGACCACCCGCCAGTTTGCAACAAAATACATCTTCACATCAAATGATCAAAGAATCCTCTACTACTACTAGCATTAGTAAATTAGATACAGAAATTTTACCAACGGCCAATTATGAGATAGGCAAACATTCGGATGACAATCATTACCAAATATCCAATACTACAACATTAGGGTCGACTATGATAAACGCTACGTTGAAATCTTTGCATAATGTTCATAAATTCATGGGATACGAAAATGGAACAAATACTCATCATAATTCCTTCACAAAATATCCACCCTTATCGTCGTCGTCATCATCATCACCGCAGGAATTACGGTCGTGGACTTACCTTCAAGCGATCCACAAACTAAAAGAAGAGAATCGTTTAATAATGGAATCTTATCCCATGGTATTCAAATTAACAGGTTTAAACAATAACAGCAACAACAATAATATTAATAATATTAATGGAGTAAACGTTGAAAATTCTGGATATTCTTGGTGATTTTGTCTGAATCCGCATCTTTTCCTTATGATAATATTTGCTGAATAAAATTCTTTCCAAATTCTGAACTAACTACAACGTTATACATCTAATGAGTAATGCGTTTCTTTTTTGCGATCACATACCAATTATCTTTATCATAACCTGATTTAACAATATCAGCAAGACCTGTTCCTATAATTAAATCATCCAATTCATTTTTTCGAAAAAGATGATAATACCTAACGAACGAGCAATTAGCTGATTTAAGTATCATGTAAAACTGTACATGCATACATACATTATTATTTCTTACCGATTATAGACAATATCTTTTTTCTTTTCATTTGGATTATCATCGATATTATCATCAGGTTTGTTCATTTGAACAGGCATAGCCCACGGAACAAAAACGTCTTGATGATCCTGATCGAACTGACGTCTTGAACTGCTAGATTGCTCTAATGCCCAGACATAGATAAGAATTTGTGCATCGGGTTTTGCTATACGAAATAATTCCTTTGGGTGGACAATAATAATATGAATAAATTATTAATTTATCAATAATGTTTACAACTAAAAATCTTACCATGATTGCCATATTTCTTCGTTCGATTGAACTAAAATGATGAATAACGGCTATTGATATCACAAAATCCTGCATAGCAAAATCCAATCAAAAATAATAAAATTTATTCGAATTTATTAGAAAAATTAATTTTTCTAAAAGGATACAAAACTGTCCGGCCTATACGGTAGATTTAACGCATCACATATCATAACCTCAAATCCTTTGGAGCCACATATTGCAATTAAATTTGAGCTCCTATTATGTATTAATTAAATATATGAATCCCGATAATCAGCAACGGCCAATTAATATTAATTTTAATTATAATTGCCTGTCAGATCCAATTATATATAGATCAGGATTCACCGACAAATATTTGCCGTTACCACAACCAACATCCGCACCAATACTCCCACTTGGTAATTGTTTAAGAAATGCTTCAACTACAGGCCAAGGCTACTCAAGGTGATGATGGTATTTAGCTTGCTTGATAGGTGAAAAAAATATCGAACCACTACTATCTATATGTAAACACCTTATATCTTGTTTTACTGAAATGTGGTGCTATTGCTTCGTATACATCGTGTACGAATTGTTTCTCCTTCTTTTCATCCGTCAAATTAACATCGTCATCAGAATTAAGTATTGATTTTGGAATTGACATTATTCCTGAATACACTTTGGTATGACAAAACAAATTGGACGGCTATTACTACATATTAATTATTAGATTGCCAATAATGATTTAGTTTTTTATATACGATGGTTTTTGAATGATCATCATTATTCAACGTCATCACAAAGCTGATTTAAAGGCTAATGATAGAACACAAGTCAAAACAAAGTCCGAGAACGAAAAAAATATAATTTAAATTATATATGCAAATAATATTAAGACCGCGGTTTTTCCTTTTTTTCTTTGTAACTAAAAAACGATAATCTTTTGTTAGCGAAAAATTTTCGCAGATTAAACAAGGAATATTATTATACTTACAGAGCCAGTAAGGATACACCAGAGACTTTAACCACCTTGAAACGGACACCGGGAATATCACCAACCTTTATATTAAATGATATTTAGTAAAAATAATGATACGTGTAAAATCGATATTTTTTGATAAAAAAAGATTCTTACAGCGCGACCCTTACGACCAAAACCGGCGATTAATACTTCATCATTTTCTTCGACATAATTTAGACAACCATCATTCGGCACGAAAGCTGTAACTTTTTTACCATTTTTTATTAATTGAACACGAACACATTTTCTAATAGCCGAATTTGGTTGTTTGGCTTCAACACCACTAAATAATCAATACAAATTCAATCAATGTCCTCTTAGAAGAATGAAATAAAAAGAATCAATAGAGGAATTGTCATCTCTCAATGATATTTACATTTTTTCTAGCACGATACCCTTAGCATGAGAAGATCCGCCAAAAGGAGAAGATTTATATGCTGTACCCAAAGCCCGCTTTTTATAATGTTTATCTGCCCACCGTTCTTCTCGACGATGTGTACGCAGTTTGCGGGCGCTTTGCAATCCTCTAGGTTTCCCCTTACCTAAAAAAACACAAATAATATTTATTCAAAAATAAAATATCAAATATAGTTTTAAACAAAAGTCAATTTTTAAGAATTATACGTTATCAATATATAATTCAAAGTCATCCATCCACCATGACGAACAGATCAAATAAAAAACACAAGCATTAAAGAGACATACCCATAATATGTTTTCTTTGAATCTGTAGATGTCCAAAATAGATATCGAGAACAAATTTTTTGACTTCCCCAGAGTAACCGGAAAAATCTGTCACGGTGGCCGGAAATTTGGTCGGTGATCGATGCCGGATGCATAAGATTACAGGGATGTAAATATGGTGCCGGAAAATCTATAATTAATAATCACGTGATCAGAAAATATGATATTTTCATTCGCCTCTATAAAGTCATTTTCTTGAATAAATTTTATATATATTTTTCGAAATTGAAACAGTATATTATTCTAATATGATATATTTAATATTTTTTATTAATTATATTTTGATATATTAAAATATTTCAATTAATTTATTAAATAAAAATATATTAAGTATATATATATATATATATATTACTATTTATTTTTATTTACTTGATTAATTACTTAATAATATTATATTTGAATAAAAAAATAAATTATTAATAATATATAAATAAATTATTTAAAAAATAAGATATTTTTATAACTTAAAAATATTAGTAATATATATAAAAAAAATTATAATAAAATTATAAAAAACTAATAATATATAAAAAAAATTGTTAAAATAAAATTTTATTAAATTATTTTATATTAAAATTTAAAAATTACATTAAATTATATATTAATATTTTAATATTTAATAGATTTATTATATTATTAAAATTTAAAAGATTTATAATAATAAAAATATATCATATATTAATTATTAATAGTATTTTAATTTTAATATTATATTATAAGTAAATTTATTTGTTATTATTGGTAATAGTATTAAATTACATAAATTATATTTTATAATAATAAATATATATTATAATAAAATTAAATAATAATAATATTTATATATTATAGTATTATTATATAAATTAGTAATATATAAAGTTAATATATAATCTAATAGAATATATTAATAAATTCTAGATATAGTGGCCATCAAAAGTAATGCAATACTTAAATTTTTTATTAATTATAATTAGTAAAATACAAAATTTTTCTTATATATAAAAGTTTTTAATTTTACTAACAAATATTTTTTATTTTTATCTCAAAAAATAGCTAAAGTTCTCTAGTTTAACATATATTTTTTTCAGATTTTTCAAATTTTTTACTGATAACTTCTTCTAATTATATATAAAGTTAATTAATTTTTATTAATTATTAATTAATAAAAATTAATTAATTTTATATGTAATTAGAAGAAGTTACTGATAAAAAAATCCAAACAATCTGAAAAAAATATATATTAAACTAGAGAACTTTGGCTATTTTTTGAGATAAAAATAAAAACTTTTATATGTAAGAAAAATCATGTATTTTACTAATTATAATTAGTAAAAAATTTAAGTATTGCATTACTTTTGATAACTACTGTATATAAAGATATATTAATAATATATTAATTAATAGTTTTAATAAAAATAATTTATTAATCTTAGTATTATAATAAAAATAAAATTATAATAAGAAAAGTAAGAGTAAATTTAATTATAAATAGAAAAGATTTTAGAATAAAGAAAAAAATAATAAAAAAATAAGTTTAATAAAATTATAATTATAATAAATTTTTATTAAAAATAAAAATTATATGACAGGATAAAATCTGTGATACAAATTAGAAAAATCCATAATAATTATTTATATCATGTAAAATCTAATATTTTTATAGTAACTATGTAAAATCTGTATTGATTAGTTATGTCATGTGAAATCTGACTTTTTTAATAAAATCTGAAATTTTACTAGTCATATTAGGTAAAATTTGACTTTTTAGTAAAATTTGATTTTTTTATGTGAAATCTGTATTTTAATTGACCCATATCAGATTTTTTTATCTACTTTTTAGTTTTAACTGAAATAAGAAATGTGAAAAATATAAATTTTACATCATTTCTATTAGAATTATTACAAGTTTGGAGAGTGTAAGTTAAGGTTTATTAACTTTTTAATATAATTTAGCTGACAAGATATATAATAATGCAAAATCATACAGATAAAAAAATTACCTTACAGTTAATAAATATTTAGTACCATTAGATTATTATATTACATTAATATAGATATGTATTATTAATAATAAATAAACTATTTTCTAGTATCACTGAACTCAAGACAAAAAATACTATTTGGTGGTCATTATTGCCAAATATATGATGCATACAAGTACTACTCACAGAGATTGTCTTAGTATTAGACTTGTACACTTTTAATATTATATCATTAGAAGATGAAAAGTTAGGTATAATTATAAAATTTTACTTGAGAACTGTATACATAAGAGTTGGATAAGAGAAGGAGATATCAAAGCTATTACATATATATCTGAGAGCATGAAGTAATATTCTCATTTAAAAAATGCATATATAAAATATATTAGATATTCTACTTGGTTATATAAGATCTATTTCTTTTATATTTGTGTTGATTAATAAAAAACTAACTTGAATCATATTATATAGAATGGTTATCACAAAGATAAGTGTAACTGGAAAGGTCACATCATGATTCCTCTGGACAAGTCACTTAATCTTTATAATATCAGGTATTTTAATGATCATAATCCTGACCACATCCAGCAAAAATCATATTAAATGGTAATATCAGTTAGAAAAATAATCTCAAATAGAGCCATAAATACAACACTCTCCATAATGGTGACAGGTAAATTTTGAAAAATATGTTTAAATTTATAATTAATTGATTATCTGTATATTTCAGAATTTATAAACAATACCAAGATTCTTAGTATAAAATCTAATATTTTTGCTAACTATGCATAACTAACTTTTACTTGATTTGTATCCAATCTTGAGACCATTCAAAACACCCTCAAGTATGACAAAAAATTATATTATCCAAGTATATTAAAATTTGAAAAGATAATAAGTTTGTTTTTTATCTTTTTATTTTTGTATATTAATTACTTAATTTATAAGTTTGTTCTAAAATAGATACCTATGAGAAAGAAGAAGTTATTATATTAAAATAATATGATATTAAAGATGCCCATAATTCAAAAGATCAAGTTGTACTTCTTGATATCATATCAATTATAATACTAGAACTGTTATCTAAATATTCTGATTTTTTGACTATAAACTCTACTAGTTGTTATAATAGTCTAAACTTTCCAAATATCACTCTCATAGTTAGATTAGATAAATCTCATGATCAGATTGTAATAATATTTATAAGTGATAAAGAAATCATATCAGTTATCGATCTGATATTTGAATAAGTGAGTATTATGATTATTTAACAAATGATTTTGATTTATGCTAAAAACTTCATTATTTGAAATTCATTGAATATAATATCCAAAATTGTATTCAACTAAATTCTAAATGGCTAGCTATAGACAAGTGGAAATCTTACTTGGTGATAGCTAAAAAAACACTTCTCTAATATGCAAGTAGTTCTATATGATTAGCACAAAGACAAGTTTTTTAGATCTTAAATTTTTTTCTATTTGAGTTTCATTTATTGATAGTATTTATCTAGCTAATATAATTAAAGAATGATTTGTAAAAAATCTAAATGATTAATAGCTTAGAGACTGAACTTTCTATCAATTTTATTTTGTTAAATAATCTCAGGATCATGAAGAATTTGATCAACAAAAAATTATTTTGCTAGATACCAAAAAATTTCAGATCATCACTAGGATTACTTTCTTAGCTATGGCAGAGACTATTACATCTTATTTTTAGATATACTGGTTTGGTGATTGGATTGGTAAGTAAAAAATAGATTTGTTTTTTGGAATCTGCAATTTTATATTAATTTTATTATAAATATCTAATCAGATTATAAATGTGATAATTATCCTATGAAAATAAATATGCTATTAGAAAGCTATTTCAAAAAAGATATAATATTACATTATCGAGAAAGGAATACTAAATCTTTATATTTGAATCTTGAGAAGATCAGTATATTAATATGTATAAATACTAGAGAGATAAAAAGGTAAATTTAAAATTATCTTTTTCTTAAGTATAATATATAATAACCTTAATTTTATTTAAGATTTTAGAAAGTGGAAGATAAGTCTCTGACAAACTCAGATCTATAATGAAAGAAAGAAAAAATAAATGAATAGAAAGAATTGTTATATAAAAAAAATCTCATGCAAAATAAGTTCTTTTGATTTTTTTTAATTTTTTTAATTCATAAATAATTTGTTGGATTTGCTTTTAGAAATCAATCAAAATACTTGGAATATTATCCAATTTGCAACTATTAATTTGGAAAATAATATTGTAAATAAAGAAAATAAATTAGAGTTTAATAAAAATGATAAAAAATAATTGTGTATTATTCATAAAAATAGAAAATTTGCGTGTCTATGCAGTTTTAATATAATTAATGATCATAATTATCAAGATACTATTGCTATTCATTTATTTATTGAAAAATCTAAATTATAAATATAAGATTTTTCATGTCTTTTAATATTTATTTTATTTTAAATATTAATTTATATTTTCTTTTTATAGAAAGATCAAAATTAAAGAGTAAGAATTTTCTTGATTTTTTTTCTAATATATTTAACACATCTTTTTTTTAGTAAAATTAATAAATCTATGACAAAATCAGCTATCTGCAGCTCTCTCAAGTCTTATCTCCATCAAAAAAAAGTCAATAATCATGTTCAGAATAAGCTCAACCTATCTCAAAAGAAGAGACCAAAAAATAAATGAAAAAATAGATTAATATCTAGAGAATTTATTGAAGTTCAAAAGATAGTTTTGGGCAAGTCTTATAATAAGATTCAGATTGCTGAAATTATTAGAGATAGTAAGATTATGGTGAATAT